TCAAGAGATCTACATTACATGCGCTTTAATGTTCACGACCCCTCCATATACTTCGTTACCCTGATACAATGAAGTAACGCTGTGATTGTGATGACACCAGTTCATCTTCTATGGCCTACGGGCACACAGGGATCTAATCATCAAAAATACCCACGTGGGCACTGCACAGCCACCACATGAAGCCACGTCATCAGGGTTTAGGGAAAGCCAGGGCTACTGAACCTCGGGTCGCCAGCTCAGTGCAATGAAGTCACCTCAGTGACACGAACCTCATTCCAGGAGGGATGGGAGGAAGCCGAGTTCATAAAAACAAGTAGACAAACGAGAAACCTCTGTCGTCGTTTCGAAAGACACACTCTTTTGAGAGAGAGCTCCCCAGTTGTGGTAAAACATGGTGTGATATGAGAGTTAATAGTTTCAGAATTTCAGAGCTCCACAAGTGCCCTGTTTCAAGGATGGGCAAAGGGCCTTGGCTGCCCACCCTCTGCAGTCCTCCCCTCAGCTTCCAGAAGCACAGGACACTGATGTACAAAAATCCTCCCACAGACCGGAGCACTCCTAGGCCCCTTAGAAAACATCCTTTTGGCATCCAACTTTTCCTGTCCTGAAAAATCAAAGTCCAATTGCAGCAGGCACCTGAGCAATGTTATATATATATATTATAGCGCAGGACAGGTCGGGAGGTGACAGGAGCCAGCGCTCTGGGGGCAGGCGTGGACTGTACGAGCCCACCGACGACAAATCTCTCTTACAAAAAGGTGACTACCCCATCCACATCCACATGTCCATTGTCAAGCATCACATCATGAAGACATTTAACTTAAACTAAGTTTAGTCAAAGAATGAGTGGGCTAGGACACAGAATTTGACCATTTCATGTCTAATAATTGTAAGGATTCTCCAGAGACACAGAATCAATGGGATACATAAAAAGGGATACATAAGAGGAGATTTGCCATGGCAGTGCGCTCACGGGAGACGGGGGCTGAGAATCCCACAGTATGAAGCCCCAGGAGAGTCGCGCAGATCATCCAGTGAAAGTCCGAGGGCCTGAGAGCCTGGTGGCTGCTGGTGTGAGTCCTGGATAAGGGTGCGCATCTCAGCTGAGGCGGACAGCTCCCCTGCCATCTATCGTCTTCTGTGTGGGCCTCAAGGGACTGGAGGACGCCCCTCCACGTGGGGGAGGGGGCTTCTGTACTCGGTCTACTGATTCAAATGCTCACCTCATCCAGAAACACCCTCACAGACACTCCCAGAGACACTGAACAACTCTGGGCATCCCTCGGCCCAGTCAAACTGACACACAAACCTAACTATCACAGTGAGGCATTAGAGTGAAGCGTTTTGATGTCTCAGGTGAAATTTATATCAGCATTTCCTCCCGGTTTCTAGACAGACGGCCATCACAGCCCTGCTCACCATCTTACTTTAGACAGTGACCTTTCTGCCTACAAACAGAGCAAAAGCAATGCATTCTGTTTGTTAATAAAATTGCATCGACGTGGTAACATCAGACATGCCTCTAGGTGTTTCCGTGTCAGTTTTATTCATTGTCACAGGTAACCTTTTTGCTTAGAGTTGATCAATTTGAAATCCTAGTACTGTGACAGATACTTGTCTGATCAGAAAGAATCTTTGTGACAAGTTTGTGTTTATACTGATAGTGCCATTTAAACTCTATGCCGTAGCCAAGGAAACGCTATGATAATGAGGCTCAAAAAGAATCTTAACATTTTGCTAGAGTTAAATTTTCCAGCGCACTCAGGGAATGCTCGCTTTTCAAAAACCGTGTCACAGGGACACTTTCTACTTAGGGTTTCTCTGTACATGTTTCACTTTTCCACTCCATGGGGTGGGAGGGGGAGGGAAAGAAACACTTTTAAAAAGGGCACTTTTATTAGGGGTGTGTGTGCACGTGTGCACTTATTTTAATGTAACTATTGTGTAAAGTACTTAACAGGCTTTAAATTGAGCTCTCCAAAAGTGTCAGGGTTCTGAGCAAACTGACTGGAAGGTAGGGGGGTGGGGATGAAGGTTGCTGGCAGCCTAAGGCACTGCTTATCTCATTTGAGGTAGATGGAATTCAAACTGCCTTCATTAGCTGAGGGATATACTGTGGAAAATGAGCCGGGAACTTATCAAGAGGCTCTTTCATTTGCATTTTTGCTCAATTTTCAGGCAGCTCTGTGCTGTAGGTGCTAAGAGCAGTGAGTAGGAGACAAAGAAAACAGTTCAGGTGAGTAAGCCTGGGGGCATCGGAGGACTTCAATGAAGGAAAAGTTCCTCAATGAAGATGTCAGAACTGCGCCTTGTGTATCTGTGACACAGAAAGGCCATCTCACCACAGTCAGGATGTGGGATACACAAACACACTAATTCTCCCCACATTCACCAGCACAAGCAAAGCTAGAGGCCATTCTTCTGATAAATGATCGATACTCCGCATGGCGCCCCCCAGGTGCCCTGCTTGCCAGTTAAAAGTCTGAATTTCAATTCAGTATATCTTCACGGGTTACGCCTGGAACACTTAGCTTCTCCCTCACTCCCCACAGAACCGAAAGGCTGTTACTTTGCAGAGTCATTTCCTTTAAGCTCAGAGGGAACGCGTTCTTATTTGACCAGCACAGAAACATTTTCCTCTAAATGAAGCCTTGTTAATAATAGGACTACGGACAGAAGTACAGAAATTATGATACGTCTACAGTGTAAGTGGGGCAATCGAATGCCTTAGCGTCAGCAGCTGTCATTCCCCGGGTTCCCTGCACCCTGGCAGCTCGGGACTCTGATGCTTCTCCACAGGTAGATTCCCTGGGAAACTTCTCAGTCCTACAAAACACGCACACGCATCCTGGATACCGTCCCGCTCAAATCAGCGCAAATATCCTCATCCCATGTCACCTCCAATGCCCCTACAGATTTGTTCTGAAGACTTCTTGTTTATTTCCAAAAAGTACTGGCAGAGGCCTAGCAAAACCAGCTAAGAGAAGATACTTCTAAAGGATTTCGGCAGCTTTCTTGAAGATTTCAATATTTTAGGAAGAAATATAGGCCATTTGATAGGCACCATCTCCTTCATGGAGGATTTAAAACATAATTTTAAATGAGGCCATAAAGTCAAATGAACACAACTCCAAAGCTACAGGTTTTCAGGAAGCCTTAACAATTAGCTCCGTTATTGGAATGAAATACAATTTTCTCAGTGTGGAATTTTGGAAGAAAGTCTTTTCCTTGGAAGCAAATCGGCTGAGCCCATGTCAGCACAGCCCCACCATTGTGAGTGCTGCTTTTCTCATAATTTAGAATGCACACGTCCCCCCCAGGGTCAAAATACCTCCAACAACTGAGGAGTCGGGACTACTCCACTGCAATGCTGGGGGGTTCTGATAAAAATAAAACCAGCGCATTTTATTTTACACAATTTATGTGTCAAACCAGCAACAGCTGCCTATCGTGAATTGGGTATTTCATGATTAGCTGCCCTGGTGGAGTGGGTTACTCAGGCCTGAACAGGAGGCCTCACGAGTGCCAGCACACGGTGCGGTCCTGGGCCAACGATCCGCGCAGGGGCCGCACGCAGGGCTGTGACCGCGAAGCGCTTGCTGCGCGTTCCGCAGTGGTGACATCTCCCCGCGCATCTGCTAGTCTCCAAACCAGCTCTTCAAAACGAAACCACAGTTTAATATTGTAGCCAGTACACCTATCGATAACAATTCAAACCATCGTTTTGTTTAATGCTAGTATTTTCTTTTCTTTTGGAAAACATGAATAGTTATTTATATTTTCTTACTTTGAAATTTGATGTTATTTTTAAGTTTAACTCAACCTAAGTCATTCTATCTGGTGTTTGAAGGCCACGTGTTCTAAAAATGCATGGCTGGGGCCGGCTCAGTGGCTCAGTTGGTTAAGAACTCGCTCAAGAGTGTGAGCTCTGAACAACAGCGGTTCGATTCCCGGCCCGAGGTGAGCTGCTGCTGAGCTGCTAACAGGTGGCAGGATGGCTCAGCTAACAAAAATAATAAATAAATAAATAGATAAATAAATAAATGCATGCATGGCTATTACACTAAGCCAACTAACTAAACCTTCTAATGAACTAACGAAGCTTAATCTGATGGCTGGAGGAATGATCAGTGTTATTCATTGATTAGCTGTCATTAAAGCAATGCCCGCTTTTATTTTCAACAACATTCCACTATGGTGAGAAAGAAAAATATCTAAGCCTTGACTACAAGATTCTTGGAGCTGGCTGCTTAGGAACCTTCTAATTCTAGGATCCTATAATTCTGTCAATATTTTTTTAAACATAAAACTGAAGTATGGATTGTTGTGTAGGAAGAAACACATGCTTCTTAATTCAATAACTTCTTTTAATCATCAAGTTTCTTATTTTTACATTATTTTTGCATATCAGGATAATTATAAGTATTAGAAAGCTGATCCATGTGTTGAAATAGATTGGTGAGAAACTGGCTTTTGATAAAAATGAAGATATAATACAAAACAATACATTAGTTGGTTGAATTAGATTGAGAGGCCAAAGGAAGGGATAAGGTGAAAGAGAAGGGGCCACCCTGTTGACGAGACGGCGGATTACAGAAAAGCGGAGGGGCCACATACACCGATCAGGGTCAACTGTCAAGTGCAAATGCGGGAGTCAAGTGTAGAAAAACAGCGATATGTGCTCAACGCATGTCCCACACCTTAAATGCTATGGGGTCTTGTAAGTGACACTGTATAGAAAACAAAACCCATCTCAGAGTATTTACAGAATACCATGCAGAGCTCTCATCTCTAATCCAAAGACCACACGAAAAACCAGTATTGTCTAATGACCCATACAAATTTTTGTTCTGAAATGTTATTAAGAGCGCATATATTGTTTTATCATTTTAAAAACAAATTTAGAATCAAAACCTTGTCTGTAAATTAGTAAATTATTGGGTACTCAGCAATAAAAATAAAAGGAGAAGTACTCACAGCGAGAAAAACTGTGCACTTACCGTCATGATTGGGGTTCCCAAGTGTCCAGGGCTCATCCGAGTCAAAGTGCGTGTCTCCCCCGATCCCGGGTCCTGGGAAGTAGGCGTGGGCCAAAAACCCCCCTTCTCCGTCAAAGGGCGAGCTGTCTCCATGGAAACCAGAGGCGAAAATGATGGTTATGTCCACGTCCCGCTTGCCGCTCTCCAGCTCGCTATAGGGGACCTCTTCGAAGGTCAGAGGGGTCACATTCTGCCACACGTCGAAGGCTCGGCGGATAGCTTTCCGGGTCTCAGGGTCTCCGACTTTGGGAGTTACGTTCTTTATACTGAAATTCAGAGAAAAGAATGACCCACATGGCTTCGTTATATGTAATCTGACTTATTATGATTCCGATCTGCTCAGGTGAGTGAAATGTTAGAAAAACGGCCATGTTAAATAGGAGAGAACTTAATGCCTTGTGTTTCTAGAGCTGGACTTGGCTGCACAGGGTCAGCAGGCGACACGCCCCTGCCGGGCTGTCAATGAAGCCTCTACAGAGTGGGGGGCCAGGGGTCAGCCCACCCATCAGGCCCTGGGCCCCTGAACAGGCCGGAAAGGCAGCTTTCCCAGTGGTCAGGCTGGGGCAGCACTTCCGAGAAGAAATACAACGTTCAATTTCCTTCTGGTTGTAACAGTCACTTCCAAACAATGTCCTTATGTATCTATGAATACCACCAGTTCAACATACAAAAAGTTATTTCTTAGGTTTTAAAGAAAATGTCAATTATTTTCAGTTTTTGATGTTCTATTTTTTTCTTAGTACACACTTAATTCATTCTGGATAAAATAAGCAATGTGAATAAATACCTTTTTAATGCAAAGATTTTATAATTTTATAAACTTAAAAGAAGTAACTTGGACATTATTATTTAGTTTGTGTTGATGTCAATAACAAATGGATAAAATTTATAAATATTTTGTCTATTTAGTATTAATCAGATATTTCACTTTTTTCACGTTTTATATGTTTTTCTAAATTGCACATAAACGAAACAAATACATACATGTATTTTGTATTGTGGTGGAATAAGTTCATAGCATTTTCGTGGAAAGCCATGAGCTTTCCTAAGAGGCATCAAAAAATTTCAGAGCCCTTCAACCAACAACCTTACATCGATGAACCCATGAATGTGCATGAAAGAAGTATCCTAGTACACAGAGGAGGCATGCTACCCATGTGAGCATTTATTGCAGCACAGCAGTAAAGGAGAAGTGGGAGCCAGATGGTGCCCAGTGATGGAGCAATAGCTAAACTTTGATATCTCGGGTGCGTGTCAGATCATATACGGAACTCAAGATCAGCTTTGCCTTTTCAAGGCACCAAGCAGCATGAAAAAATATTTAAGATATATTCTCCAGTGGAAAAAATAACCTGCAGATTGTGTTTTGAACCAATTGTAACTATGTCAAGATAATCACGACCGTTCAGCAGGAATCACGTTACCACAGTAACGACGGCCTTGGGCGTAACTATGAGCCAGGCGAGCATTTCACAGCATCTTATTTAATGGCTCCGGTAACCCGATGAGACGGGTACTGATACTAGTTTACAAAGAAAGCTGAGATTTAGAGAAAATTAGAGTGGCGCAGCTCTGGTTTTTCGACCCAGACATTTTGACTCAAGGATCATTGTCTTAAATTCTGAGCTAGACCATACACACATCCAGAGAAAGTTTTCACTACGTGCTACTGCATATTCTACAACATATTTACACTGACTGTACAATGGTGAATATCACTCACTGTATAGAAAGAAAATGAGGAAGCAGACCACACAGAAATGGAGTGGTAGAGAAGGCCGCAAGTGAAGGCCCTGACGTGGAGACACGCTGGTGAGCAGAAGGAATAGCGTGTGCTCTGGGCAGGAAGCACGGACAAGCGTGCAGACAAGGGGCCAGAAAGGGGCAGAGCACCAGATGATCTGGCCCCTGGGCCACGGGAAGCAGTCTGGCTTCTGTTCTAAGCGAGAGGCCAAGAACAGAGTATCATGCTGAGAAGTGACCCATGACGAACCGTTAAGTAAATGACGGAGCCACTGTGTGAAAAATGCACTGACGTGGGTCCATTGTTTAAACAGGCAGACCCACAGGGAACACCTGCAAAGCTTCAAGTGAGAGGTGGTAGTGTTTGGACCAGAGGGGTGCCAGGGGAGACACTGAGAAATGGTTGGATTTGGGATCTATTGATATCTTGGGGGTACACATGCCAAGATGTACTGATGGTCGGACATGGGCTATGAGAGAAAACTAGTGCTAAGGAAGACACCATATTTTTTTATCTGAGCCTAAGGATGTAGAGAGAGAAAGAATTCATTCCTGCTCAGGGCGAACGTTATGCAATGTTTTGTTGCTGTTTTTATTTTATTTTTTTTTTAACTTGCCCTCCCATTCAGCGTGATGCCCTAAACTCCGAGAAGGGTCATCTCCTTCATGGAGGCATTACAGACCTTCATCTAGCATGTTAGTATCCAGCTCGCCTGTCTGATGACTGAAAAGGCACACAGATTAATGGTGTCACTTTGAATTTTGTCTCAAGTAATTTTTCTAGTAGTCTTTTCTTTCCTTACCGCCCTACGGGATCTCAGAATCCCTCGTTAGTGGACAAGTATCCTTGTGACACATGACTTGAAAGATGTACCACGAAGTGGGTGTTGCAGGTGCCAGAGACGGAGCTGTCACTCAGGCTCCTATAGAACATACGTATTTTAGTGATGAGAGAAAAATGATGAAGAAGAAGAACAGAAGACACCTACAGATGGCATGAGTGAGGGGAGAGGAGGTGAGGTGACTAAATAGTACAGGGGGTCTCAGTGACAAAAGGTGTCACACGCCTGGCACCAAGCACCCAGCCTGAGGTACAGTGAGCAGCCGTGTGGACCTGACGGCTGGAGAACGGACAGCTCAGCGCAGTCAGGGCAGTGCCACGGAGGGGGAGCGCTGGCAGGGACAGGCCACTCCTAAAAGCCCACAGGCACTGGGAACAGGGAAGTGGCCTGGCCTCACCCCAGCCCACAAAGCCACTGTTTCTGACAAAAAATGACCAAGGGCACAAGAATGGAGCAAAAAGACATCTCAGAAGTTCAAGCAACAGGAGACAGTGGCGAGCAGTAGAGGGCAGTCCCGGAAACCCAGGGAACAAGTCTCGGTGCGTGTGCTGAGGGCACTGCCGAGGGCATCCGGGGTCACACACAATGTTCATGGAGGAATCGCTTTGTCTTCCAATAAAGGACCATCGTGCGACAGAGAAAAGAAATGACATCATATTAGTGTTATTTACATGCACTTAATGGTTCTGAGAAAAACGGAGAGGTATAATATAATAGAGAGCAATAAATGTGGATTTAAAGACACGTCACTATGTTTTTCAGGGCTATGGACTCATTAGCTCCCACAATGTTTTTAACGGTGGTAAGTGCAATGTTTTCAGAAATACGTGGCACATGGGTGCACTTCAGAGTCAGAGCCCTGAGCTGGGTGCCCACAAAGCCCGACTTGGAAAGCTGCATGCCACTGAGAGGCCTGCTGTGTTTCCCAGTACCTGAAAAGGCACAGAGAAGCCCTGTCACATCAACAGGAAGGTAAGACTGTGAGTCTTAATAATTCTAATACATGACGTGCAAAATTATTAATATATATTTGCAAAAAAACCCCCGTCATAAAATAAATTAAATGAAGTTTAAAATTAATAGAGCTAATTGACTTGTACTGGTATTTTGTTTGCATAGTTGATGCGATTTCACCTCTTTTCCCTCAGATACAAGAAACGGTGCCCGACTAGACACTGACCGGGGAGCCCCCCTAAGAACCGTAAAGTAACTGCTCAGCTATTTCCCAAGAGGCCAGCTGTCCAGGCCAGACCGACCGAAGTCTCTATTACTCTGCGCCTGATTTCAACAGTGTCTTTCCTCTGGACACAACATGTGAGTTCTTTTTGAAGTGAACGGGATGACCAGGTTCAGTGAGCTCATGGGTTCAGAGAGAAAATGGGAAACGTTTGTGGGCAGGACAGATGATCCCTCAGCGACTTCTAAGTCCCTCCTCTGTGTAACTTTCCAAGTAAAATGACAACTTCCAGTGTGACCTTGGTAGTCACAGAGCAATCACTTAAAATCAGGCTTAGCTAACGGCTGAATTTACTGGGAAAACCAATACTAATTAACATAATATAATCGAACATAATATTATCACACTGATTCATTATGAATGCTCATTAACATAATAGTGCTAAAAATAGATGCATCTGGCAATTTACAGGTGTATCCATTGGTCATTTATTACATAAAATACTATGTTGGAGTTTAGATTTTATAGAGAAAAGGAACTTAGGCTAAGTCTGTTTTATACAATACTAGTATATTTGGGGAATAAAGATATAATTGATAAAAATGATGTGGCTCATTAAGTGCCCATAATTGTCTTAAATAAAGTGTAATCAAAGCCTACTAAGAATTCACCAGTTTACTCAACAACTCTTTCCTGAGAGCATAATACCTAGTGGGCACTCCCCCAGGCTCCGGAGAGCTTGACAAGGAGACAATAACGCAGGCTCGAGCTCCGAGGGCATCACCTGGAAGGAATGCACAGGGCCTGCTCTGCTGTCTCCCACCCCGGGCTCCACGGGGGCAGCGCCTGCGCAACTCATCTGCGCATCGCCCGTGCTGTCACATAGGCTGCATGGAATCATTAATTCAAGAACACCTAACTACCCAAGAGGCAAAATTGATCATAAAATAATAAAAAGGTAGTAGCAAATGCTGATACCGTATTAACTGTACACAAGGCAACTTAACACCTTGTGTATACCAGGGGTGCCAAAAAATGTGTACACACGACTTGTATTCATCTTTTGTTTTCAGTATATATTGAGTATTACAATTTTAATACAGGTTTTTCCTTTCTTAAAATGTGTACACATTTTTTGGCGCCCTCTGTATATTAACTTTAAAACATGATATCCTCAGCTGTCACTCCTAACTTTGTCTAACCCTGTCAGAATACACTCAGCAACTTCTGCAGTTTGATCTGGTAAGTTAACAGAAGTAAAGCTGGCAGCTGGCTTTTACTAAGCACTGCTTCACGCACTGTGCCAAGTTCTGTTTTGTTCCCATCTTCTGATAACTTTCTCCAGACCTTTAGGACGGAGGTATTATTGCCATACTCACTCTGCACACAGAGAAACCGAGACAGAAGATTGCGTCACTTCACCTCGGTTTCACAGGTGGCAGGTATCAGAGCCAGGACTCAAGCACAGATCTTTCTTACTCGAAATCCGGGCTCTGAGCCACATGATGTGCTCACCGATGACAGGCGTTTCGGGGACAGACACCTCATCACCTGAAGATTCAAAGCTGGCTGCAACAATGTCAGTATAGGGACACAGCACACATGGCAGTAAGATTGGTTCTGAGCAGAATGGCTCTTAACAGTTTCTCTCTTCCTGCTCAACTCTGTGTCCAGTGAAAACACCCTTTAAAGGGGAAGGAGAAGGGCCAGCAGAGCAGCTCAGTTGGTTAAGAGCTCGCTCAAGAGTGCGAGCTCTGAGCAACAGCGGTTCGAGTCCCTGCCCAAGCTGAGCAGCCGCTGAGCTGCCAACAGGTGGCAGGATGGCTCAGCTAAAAAAAAAAAAAACGGAAGGAGAAAATGGACTGTATTAGGAAGGAAGAAGGAAGGAAGGAAGGAAGGAAGGAAGGAAGGAAGGAAGGGAGGGAGGGAAGGAAGGATGGAAGGATGGAAGGAAGGGAGGGAGGGAGGGAGGGAGGGAAGGAGGGAGGCTCAGGGAATTTGTTGCCAGTAGACCCGCCTTGCATGAAATTTTGAAAGAAGTTTAGAAAGAAGAAGACATCTACAGGTCAGAAATTCACATCTATTTAAAGAAAGGAAGACCATTAGGGAAGGAAGAAATAAAGGGAAAATAAAATTCTTTATCATTTTAATTTATCTAACAGATACCTGCTCAAAATAACAGTCACAACGACACATTGCTGGGTGGGTGTAGCTGATGGATAAGTGAAGAAATAACAGGTTACAAGGGGCAAGAGAGAGAAGCGAGGCGTATACTGTGATTAGGAACGTGTATTTTCTGTGGGCAGCACAGTGTTATTGGAAAGTACACTTATACTAGCCGGAAATGTATATTTACAACTCTGGAGCACCACTAAACTAATTTTTAAAAGAGTATAACTGATACACAAATAGCAAATGGAAATATATAAAATGCTCATTTAAAACCATAGAAGGCAGAAAAAAGGGAACACAAAAAACAAACAAACAAAAAAACAATGTGCAGCAGCAATAGGCAGTAGAGAATTTCAGATATGGCAGATATTAATTCAACTATATCACTCATCTCTAAGTGTGAGTCACGAGAATACACCCAGGAAAGGAGTGGATTAAAAAGCAAGAACCAACTACATGTTGTCTACTAGAAACCCACTTTACACATAAAGACACTGATAAGATTAAACATAAAGGGGTGAAGAGAGACATGCCATCCAACACAGAGCAAAAGAAAGCTGTAGTAACTGTATTAATTTCAACAGAGCTGACGTCAGAGCCAGGAAAAGTACCAGGGAAAGGTGGTCATTGCATCATGATCAAGGTGCTGATTTTTCTACACGACACAGCAAACCTTCACGTGTGTGTGCCTAACAACAGAACAGCAAAACATACGAGGCAAAAACTGACAGAACTGCCGAAGAAACAGATGAAAACCCTTTTAGGGAGATGAACACCCCTCTTAGTAACTGACAACCCTGTGTACAGAAAACAGGTCAGGACATAGTGGAACTGACCACCTCCATCAATCGACTCAATCTCACTGATATTACAGAACACTTTATCTTTCCTTCAAAGTCCTTCACTGACACCTCACCAAGAAAGACACACCGATGGCAAATAAGCACATGCTGATATGCTCGGCATGATGTCATCAGGGGGAATGCTCAGCATGACATCATCAGGGGGATTGCTCGGGATGACATCATCAGGGGGACTGCTCAGCATGACATCATCAGGGGAATGCTCAGCATGACATCATCAGGGAGATGCAAACCAAAACAACGCGGCCCACAGCACGCCTCTCAAAAGGGTGACACCCAGAAGGTGACACCACCGAGTGCTGGCGGATGTGGAGCCCCAGGAACTCGCGTCCAAAATAGTAAAGTCGCTCTGAAGACAGACTGGCAGTTTCATGCTAAGCTAACCGTAATCTGCCATATGATTAGCAATCACACTGACACTAACCGTTATATAAGGATTCAAAGACATGCTGTTTAAATGGCAATTATTTACCTGATATATTTGACTCTGCTTCGTAGAATGCAATACTTGTGCTAGAATCCTCATCTGTCAGACCCCCAGCACCGGCATTCATTCGCAGAAGCTGGAAGGTCTGGTGCCCCCAGGGACCGAGTGCTCCCAGGGAAGTGTACCAGGCCCCCAAATGGACAATTATTCTCGTTCTCTATCGCAGCGTGAAGTTCCCTGTGTTAGCACCACACTGGTATATGTCACCATACAGTCAACGTGCCTAAGATGCCAAGCCAAACCTCCAAATACGTGGCTGTGAGGAAAAGGAAAGCTGGTCACTCGCCGTCGGCTCATACCTGTAGGTGATGTGCTTGTGTTGCCACTTCTGCCCCGTCAACGCGTACCGCTTTCGACGGATATTAAACTTGGAGCTCCCTCTGGTCTGGTCGGGCACGCCGCACCGAGGCTTCTTCATCCAGCTGCAAAAGCAGTGTTAACAGTTACCGATCAGCAACCGTAATCATTCAGTCCAAAAGGAAGTCGACCGAGCTGTGAATCTGTGCCAGTGATAGTGAAACGGGAAAACATACAGGAGAAAACCATCCGTTTTGTTGCAGTCTGAACTAAGTAGAAAGCACCTTGTTTTCCTGGATGATCAAGAATCACTAGTTCACAACTCAGATCCTTTAGCTATTGTTTCTCTAATGTACTTTTAGCTAACTGTGGACTGAGTCTCATAAAATGATTAATTTAAAATAAACGATCACGAAGGGCTCCTCTAGCTTTAACATGCAGCCGTTTTTAAAATCTATTCTACAACCTGAAGCGTCATGAAGGTGCGTGCTGCCCTCTCCCTGCCTGCACACAAGGGCCTTCTGTTTCAGTGCTATGTGCTTTCTGCGCCTTGATCTTCCTCCCACTGTGATCTTTACTCTGGTTTCCAAGTAGCAGCTTCCGAATTCAATGCTTAAGACAATTTTTTTCTGAGGTTCAGCATAATACAAGGTTTAACATATCTGCATTAGGAAATTAACATCCTTCTCTTATTGATTTATTAATTGTGAATACAAATACAGTTGTCTAACTTCTTGTCTAGAGTCTCCTTTGAGCATTGTCATGTTTTCTACATATTCCTGCTTCTCATCTAAGGAGAAAGATTTTTATGACTTTGAGTAGATTTTCTTTATAGTGACTCATAAAATGGCTTTCCCGTTCAATATCCCATTTAATTTAACAGTTGCAAAGCTAATGCAGACTCTTTATGGTGCAACATGCTTCAGAAAGTGGAAATAAGAAAAGAATCGATTTTTGCTGTATTTCACCAAATACTTAACGATTTCTAAACTCTTTAAGTGGAGTAGAGCTGGCTGTGGAGATGACTTTCTAAAGATGTCTGTTTTGTAAAAAGAAATAAAACAGTTTATGTGATGCATGGATAAATCAGCAATTCAGCTCTTATAAACATAAGAATAACTTCATGCAACAAAGAACTCATGACAGTTATTTTTTAAGAAAGATGGTACTTTTCCAATAAGCACTGAGATTCTCTGGTTTTCATTCTGCCCCAGTGCAGTGTAGACACTGCAGTTATCAGAGCTAACAAATCTACCTGTTTACAATGCATTGTAGAGCTGCCTCAGAAAGTCACTCTTTGCATTTATTAAAACTCCATCAGGTGTCTTGTAAGTGCCACCTCATAGGAGACGACCGGCCTATGGGCCTGAACTTGGGAGGCGAGGCTGAGACCTCTGAGTTTTAACTACCACCCCCAGGCACCCTGAAACCACTTCACTCAACTGGAAAACAGTCAGGGTGGGGGGGGGTGTGAAACTCCCGGTGTCTTGTACATCCCTGGCATAAAAAGAACCCCAGTGAGGAGGTGGAGAGGAACAGTCATTCTTTCTATTATGTGTTGTGAGCATTCCACACAGCTCTGACTCTAATCGCAAACACCAGGCACTAACGGTGGGCTCATGACGGTTTCTGCGGTTTTTATATACGGGTTTTCTTTAATGACATCAACAAAATTGTAATATTCCTAAGGCAGGTACTTACACTTTATCTCACTAAAAGTGCTGGGAGAATAAACAATATATGCTTGTTAACCATGATCAAATGTACGTGATGTGGGATGTGATTACACTTATATTTAGCTGAGGGAAATGTTTAAGGAAACACTCTAGGAAGAGAAATAACTCTGCAGTGGATAGTGGGATGGAATCTGACACAACAGCATTAGCTCCTATCAGAATAAAATACAGTCCCAATAAGACTACGTTCTCTCAAGGTATGTCAGTAATCCACAAAATTAACAGGTGAAGGCAGTAGCTGAAAACGTAGGTGCATTACTGTACGTTTCCATGTTGGGTCCCGTAACCTTTCCCAGCCACGCAGAGGACAGGTGTGCAGGTGAGTGTGAGACTCCTGTGCTGGAGGCATTCCTGTTCAGTCCCTTATGCATTTCTGGGGCTTCGCTCCAATTATCTGTTCATTTATTTACTCATTCCATCCAGGTCCACTCATCCTACAATATTTCAAACTTATATAACATGCTAAGAGATTTTTTTTTTAAACAAATGTGGATAAAAAGGTAAGCAAGGCAAGAGGCCTTGATGAGTTCGAGCCGCAGGTCAGACACATGTGATGAAAACAGTGATGGTATAATGCTAAGGGCTCTCTCAGCTCCATCTGGAGATCCTGGCGTCATTTCCAATTCTGCATGTCATAAACACACGATGAGGCCTATCTTGCCCCCAACTTGCGCCGACTGCTCTGATGCCTACCTCACCCTTCCGATGCCCAAGCCAGGTACCCAAGTGCCGCCCTCCACTGCTCTCCCCTCGCATCCAATAGTCATCACACAACCGCTTCTGCCTGCAGAGCTTCTCTGCTCGCTCTCTCTCACCAACGCCTGCCTTCTCACGCCGAAAGACGATTTTTCCCAAAACGCAGACGTGTCCTCCACACGTTCCCAGCACAAATGCTTTTACAGAAAGACGGGTTCAGGCGTATGAGCAAGGCACCCCGTCCTCCAGTTGGGCTGCCAGCACCAGGCCTCTGTCTTCCTTGTCGGCAGTGGGTTCTGTTGTGTCTGGAAGACCTTCTCCTCCTGGGCCACGGTGAGAATCCTGACCACCCTTCACTGTGTAGCTCACACAGGCAGTTTGCCATCCCGACACAGCGCGCTGTCCTGGGGTGCTGGCTTGGGTGTGTCTGTCTCTATCTTGCACTGGCCGTCCGGCTGGCCAGAGAGCCCAGGGCTAGTGCCTGTGAAGTCCCCAGTGAGGACTAGGAGGTGATGAGCTGAGTGTGCAAGCCTTCTCTGCACACTCATCTCCCCACTATCCCTCACGGTCCATGCAGCCTTCGCAGCTCTTTCCAGCTCTGCGCTCGAACGGGCATGTGGGGGCACTTTGATATGACAGTGCCCGGCAGATAGCAGCTGCTGTTATTAACGTATAATTAGAGTACCAACTATCATTTCACAAACATCAGGCCACAGCTGCAGGAGTTACTGACATATCAACAGCTTCAGCTCAACTTGACCTTCATGTTAACATAAAGCACTCTGTTCTTCAAAACAAGGATATTCCTGGTGTTTTGTTAACAAAAGTACCAACAGATACACAATCCTGCTTTCTGTAAGTAAGGTAGCCACGAGCTACTAAACAAGTTGGCAGAAAAGCTACGAGCCACTATGCATCAAACAGCGGCACTGGTTTCAATAAAACTCTTTTTTTAAATGAGTTGGGCCTTTGTGTCACACACACAGGGCCACCCACCGCACGACCCCGAGGTGTCTACAGACTGTCACCCACACCACCCACACACCCGGTGCCCTGAGGGGGGGCTGCCCACGTCAGGACTCACCAGAGCACAGTGGGGTGCTATCGCCTGGAGTTGGACTGCTCAGCGGCCCTGTGTACACACCCCCACCTTTACCAGGAGAATAGAAAGCACTCACACAAATCTGTCCTGTGCCTTAGGAATCTGTCATCTAAGAAACAGGTTCCTCAGTTTAATGTATGAAACAGGTTTCACCCTCCAGACTTTTCCAAATTCTAAGGAAAGGTGAGTGTGATGTCTGCTATTTAGAGTTGTTCCCAAGAGAGCTTCTAGATAGATCTTTTTTAAAATCCTTACTTTTAGCACTTCAAAATTCTTTAGGTTTTGTTTGATTCATAGAGCTAAGTCCGGCAGTTCCAGGGATTTTTAAAAGCGAAAGTCACTTGGGCTCATCTGTGGGTAGGGTGACAGTCCACTCTGGTCCCCGGGTTCTTTTTCTATCACCCGTGAGCTGCCCGCATGGGCACAGGGTTCCTCACAGAGCCGCAAAGCGAAAGCACTTAGAGTACATCTAAGCAGCCGCCATGACCTGCACCACGAGTGACAGCTCAGGGAGTGCTGGCTGGTCTTGGAGCCTCCACCTTCCGCCTGCCAGAAGGCGCACCTCACTCCTGCTCATCTAGCTGTCAACCATCCCTCTGTAGCTACCAAATGAGGACTGGCCCATCCTGTAACATCACCGTGTCCCAGGACCACAGGGATGCTCAAGGTATGTAAAGAGCAAGAACCTCACTGACGAATCTTTTATATCTGCATGGAAAGACAAGAGTCTTAACATCAGAAATTAGACAAAAGACTAAAAGTCATGAAACATATTGATAATTAAGCCCAAAAGCTTGTAGTGTATCTATACATATTTAATTCTAAAATTAGGAGTCCAAATACCAGTATAGTTTCATAAGAATTCTTTGGAAAAAAAAAACAAAAACAAAAAACAAAAAAACACTTATTCAGTCTTAATTTAATTAGCAAATTTCTGGGCATGGTTTGAATAAATTAAATACAATTACTCAAATCATCCAAAATATTTGTATCCATGTGCACGCATGCACGTGTGTATGTGTATGTGTGTGTGTGTGTACATATTATATGTGAAGAGATATCAAAAAGAAAGATCTTACGAACAATATTCCATAAAGCATTCTTCAACTCTGACACTGTACACACATAAAAGATAAACTAAAATTTATAAATACTGTTAACATTACGAAAAAATATTAGACTCGTTTTCATTATCACCTTGCTATCTTTTACTCTCTTTGTTAAAAACATCTTTTTTATACATAACATAAATTGCTCCCCTTATTAAGTGAGCTTGCTTCCAGAAATTAGCTAACAAACCCATAATTTAGAAGAACTATTGCAATATATGATAATGAGCTCACGTGGGGTTGGGGGGATACGTTTTTATTACTGCCTTGCCAACACCAATGCTCATTAATATGAAAGCAATATAATGTATCATTTAAGGCATTACCTACATTTTTGTTGCTTGAAAATGGTCAATTTCTTCAACATGATATACAGATTACCACAATTGCTACTTTTAATTACGCAAGAATTATAGATTGAATGTACCAAGTGTCTGTGTGCCAAAGGAGGGTTTCATTATTTAATTTAAAAACAACTTATCTTGACAAGAGTCTAAAATTAGATAAAAGTTTGTAGAATCTGAACATGAATCCTCAGACATGCCTTGAACACAGAGGAGTAATGGCAGGGCTGTGATTGTAGCCCGAGGCTTATGTGAAGGCTCAGGTAAGAATTCCTGACTCCGTGCAGTAGCAGAGTGCCCGCTCTGCACGGAGTGTCAGCACATGTCCATCTGAGATCCAGAAGCACAGACAACTGCTTAGGTGGCGTGATCGTAGGCGTTTACTTGCAAAACCAGTACACTCTTCCAGCTGAATATCCTGAGCAGCAAAACCACAAGACTGCGGCCACATGGGGGAAAGCAGGCAGGAGGCCAAGGAAGCGGCGGGGGCTCTGAGGTGAGTGACAGTGTCAACGGCAGGGAGGACAGAGGAGGCATGGCAGGCTGGGCAAAGGGAGGCAATGAGGCTAAGCAAGGCCTCAGCACATCCTGCTAGAAATAACCACAGGTGTAACAGGGTTTAAAGGGAAAGATGTATTTCCAATCCCAAAGATTGAACCACAACAACATTTTGTAAAATAAACAAAACCCAGCAAAAACAAAACAAGCCCCCGCACAGGCCGGTTTTGAATAGAAGGCCATCTGCACGGTTGTAATTCACAGACATACTGCCTTAACTCCGACACGCCGACACAGGCGTTGCTCCTGGTCTGGACCTGCGTCTCCGTGAGCCAGGGACGCATCCTTCGCTGCACCCTGCGACCACGGGCGGTGCAGGCCCCTTTGCACCGGAAGGGCCCCAGCTAATCCCACACACCTCTTCCTCCATCCTCTCCTGGTGAAGACCTTTTCCTCGCTCTCTGAAGAAATCAAACCCATCCATCCTGAGACCTTCCAATGACCAGCAGGCACTCTCAGAGCTGGGGCGAACACAGATGTCACCTTCTACAGGACACCACCTCCTTAATTTTATTATCTAGTGGTAAGCAGATTTTCAACAAAAATTGGATTTGTTTCCCAAGGTCTCAGTGTGCTGTATTTTGAACACTGTGCCATAGTTTCGGAGAACGCCGACTAGAAGGTGACAGCTCTGTGGTGGGAACAGCGAGGCTATGCAGTGGGCTGTGTGAGACGCTGGGACATGGAGCCGTCTACACACGGCCACCAAATGCAGGGATGCTGGAGCCTGGGCATGTTAACTGAGGCTGTGTTTAGTTAGAACAGGTGTATTAGGAGTTAAGTTGGAAGCTTGATGCTACACCACGAAGAGAGAATCGCAATGATTAGAGAGCAGCCAGTTGGAAATACCCACATTCTATTCCCAGTACCAACAACAAGTTCCTCATTCTTGCAGAATGCATTAATTCTCGAGTCTATTTTCCTACATGTAGACCAAAGGTAACGTTTATGAAGCTCTAAAAATGCCGGAGCAGTAATGTATATATTTTTTCAAATTGCTTTCACGTTTAATCTTCAAGCCTTTCTCATGCTTTCCTGTCTCGAGGAACCAGAAATAGCATGGCTAACGTCCACCGTATCAGAAGGTAAAATATCGATTTAAAATTATACACTAAATCAGTTTAAGATGTCAGGATTAATTCTGTATGTCTGAGCCCAAACGCCTCAGGTACTTAAGGTTTAAAAAGAGAAATAAATGTGTCTTTTGTTGAGACACACAGCATGGTGCAGTGGGAAGCTCCCCGACCGAATGTGAGAAGGTGGGCTCTACAGTTACCCTGAACCTCACTGAGTCTTCGACTCTCAGGTTCTTTACTTGAAAACGTACAGAGAAAAATGTACCCGTCTCTCCCCTATTGTGGAGAGTTGATGTATGACCATCACATTAAATGATGGAGCAGATTTACTTTGTATCAAGAACTCAATAACCACAAACGATCCCGGCTCTGGGAGAATGAATCACTTCCTCCCCTGCCGCCCAAACAATACTGCTGTTCCCGGGCTGAGCCCCGGCCGGTGGTGAAGTGATTTGTGACTCTGTCTAGCTACGCAGTTAACTCCCAGTGGCTTCAAAGAGACCGTCCTCTGAGGCTGCATCAGCCCCTTTCACAGATAAAAGGCCCAGGAAAGAGTTACTGGTTGAATAAATAAAGGAACAATGGGATGGCTCAATCAATAAAGTAACAAACATTATTAAAGAGTAAAAACAAACCCTTTGTTAATAAAAAATTGAAAGCAGAGACTTTTCAGTGAAAACCCCTTTGATTTAGGCATTTCGAGGACGGTCACTAGTGGGATGCTAGCATGCTGGCGCCTAGCTCTCTTGTCACCCTCTCCCCACAAAACAGCTGAGTGAACTGCTTCCCGGGTCCCTTCGTGTATTTCTACTTTGGCTGAATGAACTGAAGCAACTGATGTGACATCACTTATGCACAGTCTGTGTCCCCAGCCCCACGGCCCGCTCCAGCATGTCCCTGACTGTCGCTCTTGCAGTGGCGGCAGCTGTACATGTACTTTGACTCACACTATTCCCACTTTCTTTCCCATTTTGAACGTGTGCTGTTGAAGTCAGGTGATTAAGGTGACACTACAAGGAGTGGAGTTTTAAATAGGTGAGACTGCGAACAACAGCCCGACACCAGCTACTCCGTTTGTGCGTGCCGGGGTCCGCTAAAGTGTTAGGCTGCAGGGTCTGGACCAGGGACCAAAAGAGAAAGAGTGGGGCCGTTACTCACTCGATGGTGTCCCTGTCCACCTTCCCTGTCATGTTGATGCCGTAGAAGTGTTGCATGGCGGCCAGGGCGGACTGCATGGCCTCCGCCGAGCGCAGCACCGACATCCTGGGGTCCGTTGGGGGCAGGTAGCCGTACTTCTGTAACCAAACCTGCAAAACAAGCACACATCCATTCAGACCAACCTCACGGCTGAACCATGGTTATGGCGATGAACGTAGGTCTACAGTGCATCTGTGAACTTCATTTCCTCTACAAGGGCAGAGATTACGTAAGTGTTTTATCTCTTTTTAACTTATATCGGTAGTTTAGGTTATTTAATATAACTTCAGTGGTTGTTCTGGATCTTTCTAACATACCTACAAATGCTAATTGAAAAAACAAAACAAAACAACGGTTGCCAGCTCGCGGTTTACAAGGCACTGTAGCACTAGATACAGTCACAAGTAAGACCACCCTGCCCTCAAGGAACTCAGCTTCCCAGATCAAAGGATGGTGCTTTTCCCACACTCTGACCCCGCTGACCCCATGCCGGAAGGTAAGCTTAACGGCATGTGTAACCTCGAAAATGCCTTTTCCTGGAAATGACCAGCGGCAACAGCTGGGATGAGAGCATCCTCACAGGCCAGCCGCATTGTTCTGTCACGACACTTTGGGTACAAATTCCATGCAACTGGTCTACACAACTGTCACTCCATGTCTTCAAAGGCAGGTAACTACTCGCTCATGCAAAGAATATTCTCCCATATTTACAATGATTCACGTCAATCCACATACAGATGAAATCAGATGATCTTTGTAGGTTTAGCCCTGTCTTTAAGACTCTCATGACTTTTTTTTGCTCTTTGCCAGGAAAGAGCAATTGGGGAGGATAATGAGAGAGACGGTGGAGCTAAGCTCACATCCCAGTCGTGATTACAGCCACATTTCAGAGTCATTTATGGTTAGATTTTAAAAGTAACCCCAAACTCAGTGTATCTGGGATAAACAGTCTTTACCAGAGAGCAGATCCTTTCTGGGTTTACCTTCTATGCATCGGTTTTAAAGGCACAGTCATAGGCTCAGCTCACGCCGCTCCCTGCTGCCCCTCGTCTCGGCCTTCTGCAGGCTCTGAGAGTCCCTGAAGTGCAGTGGCCTGTGGGTCCGATTGTGCCTCGGGCATAGAATGGCGGCAGCCATGCATTCAGCACAACTTCCGCTCCCCACCTGCTCTATTCACCTAAATGGTGGAGCCCTGAAGCTGCAGCTCTCCCCAGGGCCTGACACACGCCCACACCAAAATGCAGGGGAGTTACGTTCTTTATGAAAATAAACGGCGATTATAGGAGTTTCACCAAAAGAAATCGATATCGAATATACCGTCGTCTTAACATGGGAAACACGAGGGGAGCATGTTGTGATATCTCCAGGAAACAGATCCCCTCAAAAAGGCAGCACTCTAAGCACAACGCCTAGCAAATAAAATAAAGCATTTATCCCAAAGGGACGTAAGAGATCAGTGGGTGCATCGCCGTCGGGGAGGCTTATTGTGGGAACGGCACCTAGTGAACCCACCCACTCCCGGTGCCTCTGTGCCGAGACACGTGCCCCACCTGACCTGGAGTGAGTAGACTGCCAGGGAACATGGACACTGAGTCACCTGACAGACAGCCGTGTGGCCCGAAATAGGTTTCATTTTTTTTTCTTAATGAAGGAGACAAGATTTTCCTGGCAATATATAATTTACCAGGAAATTCAATAGCTATTGTCATGCAATTTCCCCCAAATTAGAAGATTTCATCTTGATTTTTAGTAGTATACATGCACTAATTTTCTGAAATTGAACTCTCTTTTTCGTAACACTTTGTTTGCATTCATTTCTTACTTGCTGGAGAGCTGACTTGTTGCTAGGTTACTCATGGGTGCTAAGCTACTGGCAATCACATTTATGAGTAAAGAGAAAACCATTAATAATCAACCCTGTGATTTATATACAAATAGAAAGACTACGAAATATATAATTTTAAGTGCATAAAAACAGCATGTTTTAAAAAATAAATATTTGACTTATGCCTTAGCGTTTCAAACAAATGAGCTGAAATAATAAAAAAATGAATGGTGATTTTTCCTCAGGTCTCTTTTATATTATGTCATTTATCATGAAAAGCTGGTTTTCCAAATGATTGAGAAGTGAGTAATTCTTTTTAATTGTAAAATATGAGGTTAGCTACAAGATCTACCATTCTGCAGTCATTTTGGCTTTTTGGCTGATGCATCAGTGTCATTAGGATTATGGGTCACCCGAACTGGACCATTCTTAATGTCACCGCCATCTGTTAATCAAGAAACCCTGTCTAATGCCATCGAGCAGTGGCCAGGGATCATTCTCAGATGACACTTGTGAAGCATCTTTCCACAGAAGGCGGCGGGTTGAGCATGACTACTTTGGTACCACACTGGAGCATGAAACCAGCGAGCCTGGGCACTTCTCACTGAAGCAGGAACGCCAGGACAGCCGTTGTCCAGGTCAGCGCCGAGAGCAGGTCAACTCACCCGCACGACGTATGTCACGGGACCCAGGGCTCCCTTACACACAGAACACTCAACAAGGATGCTGCACGAGAAACCAAGTACCCGCTCAGCCAATCCGTTAATCCCCAAGGGGATATCCACTCCTGCATTAGGCCACCTCCTTTAACCTGCTGAGATCACAGAATCCTGTAAGTCTGGTTGTTTTTGGTAAGATGGAAAAAATGATCGGTACCAAATAACCTAAGTTACAGAGGTTAGTGCTGCTGGAGGACAGCAAGCTGGTCCACATGGCGATGCGAACCAGCCAGGTACAAGCTGGACGCACGGTGTCCGTGTCCGTGGTGGACAAGCAGGTGGCCGCGCATGCCCACACCGTGCGGGCGCTGGCCAAAGCTACCAGTGAGGGAGGGTGAGCACACACACACCGGCCAGGAATCATCACAGGACCTGGCAGACGTTGGCTCCTTCTATTCTGCAGAATGAAACCCTTTCGTCACACAAATGGAGCAGGGCGGGCAGCCTTTGCACTCAGTCATCCGACAGGAGTGGACACAAGAAGTCTGGAAATCAGGACATGACACGAGTGACGGAGAAGAAAACCTCTCCTTTTCTGTCTTCCACGGAGTTACTAACTTACCTCACTTGATAGAAAAGTAAATAAACCCATAAACGGAGGCTGAAGGTAGCCCTGCTCCTTCCGGTCTGTCCTGCAGACACCCAGCCACACACTGCTATTTGAAATAGACCTTTGTCAACATGGTTTCAAAATACCGCTTCTCTTGGATGGTTAAAAGTACCAAACTTGCCTCTTAATTGTTTGTCCCTCAGTATTTTTCCAGTGTTCCAAATGCACGCAGTGGGCAGTCAAGGAACCTTGTCCTGCCGTGTGCATCTGGGAGAAATGCTATCGGAGATGCAGGGCCGATGTGAGGGCTGTGAGGACACAAATCCACCAACGCAACTTGCTCAGTGAGCCATATTTTGTGCTCACTAATTGCTCTGAGTTTGTGAAATGGCTCCTGCTCAAATTAAGGTCTGTCCCTGGGGTGATGCAGGGCCGGAGAAGCAGGTGAGATCTAAGTCGGCAGAGCTGTGAAGGGAGACAAACCACCAGGGTGAAGAGTCACATGCTGCTTGGAAACCCCCCAAGCCCCGAAGCAAAGGCGAAGCGCAGCCTGGCAGGCTTGTCCCGGTCTGGGTGCCTTTGCTTTGCTCACTGGGTGGATGTGCGCTGTTGAGGGCACTGGAAAAATACTGAGAGACAGACAAGTGTCCTCGAGGTGCAACCTGACTCCTTGGGCCCTAGCCCATCTCCTCATCACTGGGGCAGCCAACTACAGAACCTCAGACGGGCCAACAAGGTCTAACCCTGACCTTCACTCCTTGTATTCACTCCCACGCACCCCGATGCCGGCCTCTTGGAGACAAACCCATTTCCTGTGGAGGAATGGCCAGCAGGGCCTGTTCTCTGCAGCCGAGAAGAGGCAGCCACCTAAACAGTAAACTCTGTGCCAACAGACACTGCCTGCCCGGGGCTGCATCATAAACGGGCAGCGGCAGGCAGGTGGGTTCAGGACATGCACTGACAAGGGAGGTCTGCTCCCTAACGTCTCACGTAATCTTGTTGCAAACACCTGTATTAGGTGACTCGGCCATCCACACCCACATAGCGGGTGGTATCCCACATGCGGTTATCAATGAGCAGACGCCAGCAGCTCTCCTGACGGCTGGCAAAGGTAATCGGACGGAGAGCGTTTAAACAGTATTTCCTTATTCAGTCTCTCAGGCCAGTGCTGAAGCCTATGGGAGTAAATGCGCTCCCAGGGGTTGAAGCTAATCGGCTCGTCAGCACCTTCAGGTAAAGTTAAGATACTGAGACCCTTAACGTGGGAGAATCACAAATGCAAGACCCACATCTAAGCCTCTCGCTGACAGGACACCGCATGCAGGGAGAGCATCTTACAGTGATGCTCAGACATCTTCCCCCCCAAAAATAAATGCTTTACACTAGGGACTTCTCAGGCCAGGAAGGGAAGCTCTGAGACGTCACAGAGATGAGAGGAAGGGTTTGGGATTCTGTTCCATCTGATGAGTCACTGCCCAGCTGCGAAGCCTGTCACCGAGGCGGGTGGCTCAGGGGCTCATTCCCATTGGGCGTGCAGTGCGGCCGGCGATGTCCCACCTTCCCAGGGACCGTGTGACCAGGTCACGGTGCTCAGTGTGGGGAAGGGGAGGTGACACTGCATGTACTCAGCCCTGACTGAGGGACAGCACTTCCATTTACACAATTACAGGTTTTTATTATTTGGGGACATCACTTTTAAAAGTTATGGACTGCATGTTAAATTTTGACATATTTACTAACAAAACTAAATCTATAATAGTATTATATTCTGATATAACTGACTTTGTTGATAAAATGCAACTGGAAAAATGCATTTTTAATCAGTAACTTCTCCATGTCCTAAAAAACTGTTTTCTACTTTTCAGTGTGAAACTTCTAAAAGTACTTGTTAAATTCTGTTACTAACTAAAACACACAACAAAAGCAATCATCCTCTACTTTGTGGTGTCATCAGAAGAGTTAAAGCTTAAGGATGTTTTCCCCTGAAAGACAATGAATTCACGGGTCACAAAGAAT